TACAACTCAAACTAGTCAAATATGAACACTTTGCTTTTTTCATTCTTCAAAAGATTCTTACCTTTATACATTGGAGCCTTTCCTCCTTTTCGATAGGTTTCATTTGCCTTATCCATCTTCTCTCAATCACTTTTGCAGATGAACTTTACCGCACAATTCCCAGAAATAAGGGTAGAAATAGGTCTGATGATGTTGACGACGACCTCGAGGAAACATATTTGAAGCGTGAGAGGTAAAAGGGATCTGACGATTTTATCCCTCATAAATTTGGGGATTTAATGATTTTTTTGACGGAGGGACCATTTAAAAGCACCCATATTAACGTTAGGGACTACGAGTGATACAAAAAAACCTTAAGGATGCAATCTGATAGTTTCGCAAACGTTAGGGACGTTTTGTGATAAAAAGCCTTTTATTAAAGTTGCTCTCCCCTTTATGTAAGCCATTTTGTTCAAGAACTAAAATACAATTGAGGACAGATTTAGAAATTATTACTCTTAGACATCCTCAATCACAATTCCTAAATAGGGCTCTAAAAATGGTGGATAGAGCCCCATTTAGAGCTCCGATAAAATATTATGCACTCTAAAATTATCTTTCCTACAATAGCAGGCTCTATATCCGCGACTCTTAAAATTATAAATTACCATTATACCCTTTAAGTATTATCAAACTTTGAAAAACATCATGCGCTCTAGATTTGTTTCATAATAATTCAAAAACTCATTTTCTAGTGAAATATTGGACTTTCAATTGAAGGAATACTAAACTCATGCGATAAAGATCAATACTTTTGATCTACATAGTACAAGCCTTGAAAACAAATTACAAATACTTAAGGGCCCGTCTGGTAACGTTTTCAGAGAATGTTTTCAAAAAATTAAAAAGAGAAAATGGATTTGCATTTTCAAGATTAGAGAATGAGTCTAGTAGCTTAATTGGAAAACAATTTCGAAAAACAAAACCAGTGAAAAAGTGTCTAGAGAAAGTTCTCAATTTGCATGCATAAATCTAAGAAGAGAAAAGCATATCCTTATAAAATTTGCAATTGCACCAAAGAATATTGACAATGTGAAAAGAGAAAGTGAAAAGAGTTCGCATGTTTTTCTGTTTTGCTAGAGATCTTTCCGTATTTTCTAAATCAGAATTTGGAAGAATGAAAATGTCTTTTTGGCATTTTTCAACCTAAAGAGTAAATACTGAAAATGCAAATCGTTTTTCGTGTTTTCCTACATAGCCAACCAAACGTGATTTTAAGTTATTTTCAATCTAGAAAATGAAAAAAGGCCTTCGAAAATGTAAACCAACGGCCCAAGTGTATAAATTTCACTATCTTTAAGGAAAAAAAAAGAAGAAGGGAATGCTAGCAACTTTCTCTTTTAGACCTTATCCCTTTTCCTCATGACATGTCTTTCTCCTTACATTTAAAACTATGTCATTAATGCATTATACAAACTATCTTTTGTTTTCCAAATTTACCCTTATTATATGTATTGAATTTCATGTTTCTTTCAACTTATCCAAAAAAAATTTCTTCATAACTTCCTTACCACCTTATTAAAAAATTAAATAAGAAAAAACGTCATTTTTTTGCTATTTACTTGGTTGTGGTATTTGAAGTGACATTTTTCTTTCAAAATTGTTATGTGCAACAAAATTATGGGCTTTATTATATTTTCTTTCAAGTTTTCTATTCGTAGCAATGGTCCCTCAACTATACCTGTAGTTACAATTTGGTCACTCAATTCAATTATTAGTCGCAGAGGTTACTTAAGTAGGTGTTTGTTGCACCATTAGTCATTCTGTCAAACTTTGTTAAATTTTCTATAAAAAATGAGGGTAAATTCAAAAATTCATTTTTCAGCCTTCTCACTCCTCCTTCTCCCCCGTAGACAACTTCCTCATCAACTGCAAGTCCACCATGGGCTCTACCGTCGACAATCGCCTATTTGTTCCCGACCTGGCCAAGCGCGACTCGTCTTTGTCCTCCTCTACCCGCTCCATCACACTCAAAAATGAAAACCCACCTCCCAATTCCCCCCAAATCTACAGTACGGCTAGGGCTTTCAGGTGACCTTCCAAGTACAAGTTCCAGATCCGGGACGAAGGGACCCACATGGTACGCCTCCATTTTTAGACCTTTAATTCTTTGCAATTCAATTGGAACAATACTCAATTTCATGTATTGGTTAATGGGTTTGTGGATTTGGCTGACTTTAGAGCTGGGGGTGTAGAAAGCCCCATGGTTATGGAGTTCTTGATCTGGGTTAGTACCGGTGTTGAGGCCCAAAAAATTCCATGGTTGGGCCTAAATAAGTTTTCGGTCCAATACGATACTGTATTAAGAAAAGTCACATATCGGAGTACACGAAGGCTCGTCATATACAAGTCATAGTCCATGTGCCATGCTAAATAAATCATTTGTCATGCCAAGGATTGAAATAATATTATAAAATACAAGCCCATGCTAAACTAAGCACCGTGTCCCTCTTCAAGGATGATAAAATTGAAGCACGCCAAGCGACATGCCACGCTAAACAAGGAATTATTATTCCGCACCCCATCACGCCACAAGCTTAAGTGGGCCCCAAGATACTTAAATACTTGGGGCTTGCTTGAGTGAGTTATGGTATGAATGGTAATAAATCAACATGAGGCCCATTGATGGGCCGAGAAATGGAAAGTCTCGGGTTGCTTGGAAGCCTCGGGACTCAAGCCCATTTCTTAGGCCCAAACATGTGGGTGAGCACAAAAGAGGAAAAAAATAGCCCAATAGCCCAATCAAAATAGCCGAATGACTCAACCAAAAAGCCCAACGTTTAATAGAAATAGCCCACTTACTTAATGAACCACCTTGGCCCATGCAATTGCCACAAATGAGCCACAAAGGCCCCAGCACCTGGCTGGAAGAACAAAAGCCACGAAGAGGAGATCTGAAGGTTCATTGAACAAAGCTGCTGGGAGGTTTCAGCACATGGGGGGAGCAAGTTTCAAAGCAAAAAACATTCGAGGAACCAAGGGATATTAGCACGTAAGCTGCCAGGAGGATGAGCACCCTTCAAACCAGCATGTAACCCATTTGCTTTCCTTCATCAGATCTTGCCAGGGAATGAGGAAGGAAAGAAAAAGAAAAATAGTTAAGAACGGAGCCTCCCACTAAACAGCAGTGGGAAAGAGGGCCTTGAGCTCCCAAAATTCCTGATTTTGTGCAAATAGATAGAGGAAATTTCACCAAGATAGAAAAATTCAAGGGAGGAGAGGAGAGAGGAAGAAAAAGCTTGGCCAAGTTGGGAAGAAACCATTAGGGTTTCTTGGGAAGAGATGGTTTCCAACAGCTATAAAATGAGGTCTCTTCTACCCAACAGGACCAACTCACATCCAGAAAGCAAGCTTCCCTCTCTTACTTCAAAACCCAGCAATTTCATGCACTATTCACCCTTCTTCCCCATTTTTCCTCTTCTTGTAGACCATTTCACATCTGACGGAATTTCTATCGAGCTGCCGGAAGAACATTGCTATTTCTTTCTCTCGTCTCAGCCAAATCTTCTTGCAAACCTTTTCTTTCTTACCTTAACACTCCCCTTTTTCCCCAAGAAATCATAATTTCCTCTTAAGTGCTAAACTCATGTTGATTTCGCTTCCATGCCACAAGCCTCTCATGCCAAGCTAAAAAATTTATCTGTAAGCATTAAGAAATCATCTGTAAGTTGCTGTTGTTTCAGTTGGTGAAGATAACCAAGATGCTTCCTAAGGTTCTACTGCCCTTTCGAAGCATTTTTAGGGCTTGATTTTCGAACTCAGACACAAGGGACAATTTCATCAATCTGCCATTTACGGTAGCCCAACCCATTTACAGCCGCCGGAAAAAGTCCCCTACAACCGAAAAGCTTGTAATTGAGTTTGTTCCTTCTAAAAAATCAAACTTTGCGATTGAGGTTATATTTGCGCCTAAGGACCTTGTTGTTGATACGGCAAAGTTTGTGAGTTCTGATAAAGTTGAGGATTTTAATGGGTTAGCTAAGCAAGCGCTTCAAGTTGTGCATAGGGTCAATGTGGGGGGTTCTAAAATGACGCCGTTTAATGATTCTTTATGGAGGACTTGGGTTACTGATGATGAGTATTTGGAACCGAATTGGGGGTCGAAAAGGGTGCATTTTGGTGGCCAGATCAAGTATCAGGATGGAAAGGCTAGCCGGGAAGTTGGCCCTGATAATGTGTATAACTCTGCCAGAGTGATTCAGAGCACAAATGCTTCAATCCCCAAGATTAAGGGTTGTGGATGAATTTTCGAATTTACCCTCATTTTTAACCGAAAAAGTCACAAACTTGACGGAAGGACTAATGGTGCAACAAAACACCTACTTGAGTGACTTTTGCAACTAATAATTGAATTGAGTGACCAAACTGTAACTACGAGTATAGTTGAGGGACCATTGCTGCGAATAACCTTTTTATTAAATAAGGTGATAAGAAAGTTATTAAATTTTTTTGGATAAATTAAAGGAAACATAAAATTTAATACATTTAATAAGCGTAAATTTGGAAAACAAAAGATAAATTGTAAGATACATTAATAACATTGTTTTATGTGTAAAGAGTGACACATGTCTTAAAGAAAATGAATAATATCCAAAAAAGAAGGTTGCTAGTATTTCCAAAAAAAATTGTATAAATTTCAAAAAATTCAAAGAGTAAAGTGGTGTAGTCATATTTTTATCATTTTTGATATTTTATTTTATCTCGCTCTCCACAGACAAGTGAGAGAAAGTGAAAAATATCTTGGTCGTGGGGCTGTCTTTCTTACAAAATTACTAGTCGCCTATACGGGCGCGTGGCAATTCAGAAAACCTCTCCCACGAGCCGAACTGTCTTTCTCGCTCGTCATTACTGTGAAACTGTGTAGAGCGACTTGTTTTTTTGGTCATAAAACTGTGTAGAGCGATAAATGCCAGAGAGATACAACTGCAACTGTGGGTCCCTCTCTCTCTCTCTCTCTCTCTCTCTCTCTCTCTTCTTGTGCTTCAAAACCTGCCTTTCCCATATCTCTCTCATTACTCTCCCTCTCTCTCATGAGCTTTGGTAGATTTGCAGAAGAAGCTTTACCTTTTGCTTAAGCTCGGAAAGCAAAATGCTTCTTAGAATTTAATCCCAGATTCCCTTTCATTTGGTCCCTTTCCAGGTATTTGATTCCCTCTCTCTCTCTCTCTCTCTCTCTCTCTCTCTCTCTCAAGCTTTTATGTGTATTTGTTGGGTTCAAGTAAACAACCTCCAAAAGTAGAATAATTGTTTTTTGCAAGTAAAAAAGTAGAATATATACTCAAAGGGAAATTTATCATTTTCCTTTCTGATTCCTTTTCTTTTTAGATTGGTGAATAATTTATTTCTCTTTGAATCAGTCTTTGCTCTGTGGTTCTAGAGGTGTGCTGGGCTTTTTTCTATTTACAGTTTGTTTGACTCTGATTTTGTCAACTGTTTGAACCACTACAGAAAGATAATGTCTGTTTATGGTTCCTACCGCTTTCAAGCTTTAAAAAACTTTTATTATTTCCAAGATGTACGCCTGGTTTTGACTGTAAATTGATCAAATCTTGATGGTTTTTATCCGGTTTTGCTTGAAAGTTATCTGTGGACTCTGAAAATGTTGAATGTGGTCTCATTTTTCATTTGGTCCAAATGTTTGATTAGTTTCTGAATTCAAAGGATGACCATTGGATTGCGGCTGCCCGGAGACTATTACGGATTCTAAAAGTGACACATCACCAAAACCTGATACAAGTTATTACTTCAACTTGATTTTGCTGATATTAGTAGCTGTGCATCCTTTTGAGATTGTAGCATTTGTGGTGTTGTATTATGTTAGAAGGAAACCAAAGCTTTTTATTTGGATTATCTTAGATTGTAGCACAGTTATTACTTATATGGTGTTTTTCATTTCGAAGAAGTCATATTTTCAGACCATTGTTGAGGATAGAGGAATTTGGTACCGTAGAGAAGTAAATGGAGCAAAAGGAGGGAGAGAGCTGGAGGGAATTGGTGAGGAAGATGCTCCCACCAGGTGCTTCAATCCCTGAAGATGCTTCTGATCTTGATTACTCTATAGCTATGGAGTATTTAGGCCCTCCTATCTCTTATGATGTCCCTAGGGTTGAACCCCTTGATGTTAGTTCACGTGCAATCCCAACTGCAGAACCTCTATCTGAATCACAAAGATCAGTTACCAATATGGGTCCTCCAGTTATCGAACCGATTCCTCTGCCCGTGTCTCGCATTGCTGGTGTCACAAGCTCCCCTACTCAAAGTCCAAGGGTATCAGGAAGCTCAGAGTCTGTAGTGTCTGTCTTGCAAAACCCTGATTTTTCTTCAGCCTCACCTTCAGCTTCTCCAGGTTCAGTCCATAATCCTCCAGGCATCCATCCCAAACAAGCTTCCAATGAAGTAAAGCGAGCTCCAGTTGTCACTTTTAATACGGTTGATAGGTCTCAGAGGAAAGAGGTTGATGTAGAGCAGCCAGTTTTTACCGCATATGTTGGGGTTTCTAAGGAGAAAAAGAAGAAAAAAAGTAGAGTTTGTTATCGGTGCCGAAAACGAAAGTGGGAAACGAAAGAGTCTTGCCTGGTTTGTGATGCTAAGTATTGCAGCAATTGTGTGCTTAGGGCAATGGGTTCAATGCCTGAAGGGCGTAAGTGTGTGACCTGCATTGGTGAGCCGATTGATGAATCAAAGCGGTTAAAATTGGGTAAACAGTCGAGGGTATTGTCCAGATTGCTCAGTCCATTGGAAGTCAAGCAGATAATGAAAGCAGAAAAAGAATGTTCTGCCAATCAGCTTCGACCAGAGCAGCTGATAGTGAATGGGTTCCCTCTAAAGCCAGAAGAGATGGCTGAATTACTTGGATGCCCTTTACCTCCGCGGAAATTGAAGCCTGGCAGATATTGGTATGATAAAGAATCTGGTCTGTGGGGAAAGGTGAGTGCATATTTAACATGCTTGTCCAATTTCTGAAAAGAAAAGAAAAGACTTTTATGAATTCCCTTGATCATCTCAACTTGTTTATTGGGCAGGAGGGAGAAAAACCAGATAGAATCATAAGTTCTAACTTAAATTTCACTGGGAAACTTAGCCCAGATGCAAGCAATGGGAACACTGAGGTTTACATCAATGGTCGAGAAATTACAAAACTTGAATTGAAGGTGCTAAGGGTAAGACCTGTGACTTGTCAACGGTAATGTATGTTATTATTTCTTTTGTTTGTCATGATGTGTAACTTATAGGCTTGTGGTAAGCCACTAGGTTATAGTGGATTGCCCTTTAGTCGATGGTTTTATGAATCTGGTTGATGCAGGACGCGTAGGACCTAAATTTATTAGTTTCCTAGATTCTCTAGTTTTCCCAATTCTAGTAGGATTTCTACTTTTCCAGATTTCTAGTTTTAAATTTCCTATTTTATTTGGGTTAGGATTTCTGTTTAAGCAAGGGATTTTTATCCTATTATGTCTAGGTTTTAGTTTTCTATAAATAACCCCATGTAATTCTTTAAAATGGAGAAAACTAAAACCTAGACATAATAGGATAAAAATCCCTTGCTTAAACAGAAATCCTAACCCAAATAAAATAGGAAATTTAAAACTAGAAATCTGGAAAAGTAGAAATCCTACTAGAATTGGGAAAACTAGAGAATCTAGGAAACTAACAAATACATTAGGAAACTAATAAATTTAGGTCCTACACGTCCTGCATCACTGGTATTCCATTTCAGATTAGTGTGCTTCTTCTTTACTTCTTTTGATAATCTGGTCATATGTTCTCTTTATGTAAGGCTCATCACCATGCATATAGGACTTACATCACATAGCAGCAATACATTTCTGTGCATTAATGAGGTTAAAACCAACAGGAAGTAACAGGTGATGCAAAAGTATAATAAGCAATGAGAGCAGGAGTGTAACTTTTCAATGGAAGTTAAAAGGTTTCTTGTACTAATAACTTGGTGTACATTATCCAAATCAGGGACACAGTTGACATTTCATAAATGCCACGCTAAAGAGCACTGCTGTCATTATGTATATGGGTTGTTTACTTGTTTGTTGTTATTGGACTATCACTTCATATTGATTTTTGAGGGACAACATCTTAAGTTTTCACATGATAAGTGCCCCTCTAATACTGTGTCTGTATTTATTGGCCTTGGTTGCAATTAATTTAATGCCTTTACTTTTGTATTCCTTTACACGGTCAGGTAGCAAGTGTGCAATGTCCACGTGACACCCATTTTTGGGTCTATGATGATGGACGCTATGAGGAAGAAGGTCAGAATAATATCAGAGGAAATATTTGGGAGAAGGTATGTACTCGAAAACTCAGTTAAACTTCGCTGACCCTGTATTGGTTATCGCTCACTTTATGAAGCATGTTTATTTGCTTTTTGCTAGACAGGCAACAACTCGTTTTGTCTGTAGCCTGTTCTCTTTGCCTGTGCTTCATGGTCAACCTCAAGGACCAAGAGATGAGGCTAGCAATTATACTACTGTTCCAAATTATTTGGAGCAGAAAAAAATTCAGAAGCTTCTCCTTCTTGGACTTCACGGATCTGGAACCAGCACTATCTTCAAACAGGTGCAGCCTCTTATGTAAAGCTTCGATTGTGCTGTGGATCTGTAGAAATTTGCTTATTATAGTTGTTTAGGTATTATTATTTTTTAAGTTGGTAGAGTGGGAGCCCTAGAAGTAAAAGAAGAGATGTGATGTGTTTTTCTAAAGCCCTAGAGTGAGAGCAGTTGGAGTTTTTTTTACCCCGTAAGAATAGATGTGTTTCTTTTGTGGTTTTCTAGTCTTGTATAAGTCAGTGGTTTAGATGATGAAACTTGCTGTCATTCTAGAGATTAGATAGGTGCATATGTTGTTTCATCTAGCTGCAAACATGAACATGTGAAGAGAAGAATTGTCACAGATTAGGCAGAAAAAATCACCTTAAAGGTTCGGATTAAGAGGAGAGTTCATGTAGTTGACTTGATTTCTAAGCTGAGCATTATTGTTTTGCATGTGTTTGTTGGTTTCATAAACAATGAAGTGTACAACTAATTAGAAAGCTAAACGGAACAGAAGCTTATGAATTGCTTGCTTGGGTCTGGTATGAAAAAAGTAGTGAGCAATAGAGTTAGCAGTGGAACTCTTCTTGCAAATGCTATCACTTTCCTATTTCTCAATTCTCTCAAGATGCTTGAACCTTCTTGTAGGCAATTTTTTATATTTGTTTGTTGCTTTGTTGCCTCAGGTATGCCTATTAATAAGGGTAAGTGAAATTCGGCGATGGGGATTTCATTAGTTGTACTAACTAATGTACATTTAGTTACAGATGTGGCTCATGTGCGTGGCTGGAACAGTTGCAAGTATTACCTTCCATGCTTTCCATTTTATGAACAAATAAATAAAAGAACCTCGTCTTATACATATATTCCCCATTTGAGACACATATTATACTTAGATCAGGCGGAAAATGTACGGTACCATGAAACTGCCGAGCATCTTCTGTAAGCTGTGCCCTGTGTTTAGGAAAGAGAGTTTGGCTCATTGAGGTTTAGTCCCTTATGTTTTGTAACTGAAACTGCAAAGTAATCTCAAATTTGACGTGCATTTGTTTGACACATTTTTCTGCTGTCCATGAGTGCCATTTGAGATAAAACTTAATATAAAGTCTCTCTTTAGATCTTTTTATTTCCAAGTTTTATCACTGCTATTAGTGACAATTGTTCTGTGGTCATTGGGTAGGCCAAGTTCTTGTATGGGAACAAGTTTACTGCAGAAGAACTGCAGGATATTAAGTTGATGATTCAGAGTAACATGTACAAATATCTAAGCATTCTGCTTGATGGACGGGAGCGCTTTGAAGAGGAGGCTTTGTCGAGGATGGAAGGACATGGTTCTCATGATCAAAACACTAAAGCAGGTACTTTTGCAATTACACTGAGCCTTTGTCTAGCATTCTGCTTCATGGTATGAATTTTCAATCTTCACTCAAAGTTCTGCTAATGAATTGCATCAATATAAATAAGCAATGTCAATAATTGTAGTGTCTACTGCACCGCAATGTGGTGGGTACTTGTGTATGCATGAATGGTTTTGAGTTTTGAGAACTCAGCAACAATGGGGGCGAAATGGCAAGGAGCTCCTGAAAACTAGGATGTGATTATATTAACCTTGGAGTTTTCCTTTGCATGTATGCTTGTTGCAAATTCACACACATCGGAAATTACTGAAGTGAGTACTGTCAAACTTTTGTGATGAGTCGTCGTGTCAAACGTTTGTGATGAGTCACGGTGTCAAACTTTTGTGATGAGTCATGGTGCCCATCTGTACTTTTCTTTGCAAATCACTCAATAGAATTTATTTTCCCGAAAAGAATTTAATGAGGAAATTGGAGCTTTTGGCTGATTCTAGGATTGTGGAGCGAGGTTTGTTTTCCTGTCCTTGGGAATTCATTTCTCATTACATCAAGTTGTGGGGAATGGCTCTAGTAAACGTCTTTTTAATCTTTACTTCCTAATTTATATTGGGTGTGTGTGATCTCTTCTATTGTTGCTTTGCTTTCCTCTACATCTGTTTCATGGGACTTGACCTTTAGGCATAACCTTAATGTGGGAGAATTCTTAAATTTTATTAATCTGTTGTCGTGCCTCAACAATTTTCCTGATGTAGAACAAGTAAGAAGAACTCAGAAGTTAGGGAGGGATTATAGAAGAGAAGAGAAATTGGGGTTCAAGAGAGTAGAAATAGAGTGAAGGTAAGAGAATAACAAGACAGTATGAGAAGAGTAGAAGAAGACAAAGGATTATAAATAAGAAGAAGAGAATGAGAGATTAGGGTTTACAAGACCAAGAGATAATTCCGGGAGAAAACCTGTTTATTCAATCATTCAGGGAGCTAATTCAGGGAGAATTTTGCATTATCCTTTTTCCTCCCTTGTTAAGGGGATGCTGCTTCACATGTTTGGTGCTGAGGACATCTTTGTCAAACCCATTAGGATAGGGTTTACAAAAGAAAGAGATGGAAGAGGAAGTCATTTAATTTGGTCTTTAAATCTGGCAATTTTTGATTCCTGCGATTAGTTTCTAACTTATTCTCTAAGTTTTCCAGATATTAGTAGGATTTTTTTAGTTTCCAGATTTTAGTAGGATTTCTAAGTGTTTACACCATAATCAACCGAGCATATCCAGTCTCAAAACAACTAGCACCAAGGCAGACAAGCCTTCTCTCCTGCCAAAGAAAGACACTCTTCCAAGGTGCCAAGCACCTGCCGAAACTCCCGACTGCCAAAGCTCACAAACCGTTAAACCTAATTCTCATGACACGTGTCACCACCGCGGTGACTTGCAAGAGTCCCACATCGAAATTCTATGCAAACCTCCCACCTTCACCTCCCTATAAATAGGGAGTAGTATCATGTGAAAAGGGGACTTCCTCTCTCCACTTAGAAGGGGATCCGGGTCTCAAAGCTAGACCCTAGGGCTGGGGACTCTCTTCTAGATCCCTGACCTAGGCATCTCACTTGTCATCTTTATATTCGGGTCCAACCCCATGTACAAATGTAATCATACACTATTATAATGAGAACATACTTCTCCGTGGACGTAGCCCATTTATTAAGGGTGAACCACGTATATCTTGTCTCCTTTACATTTATCGCTTGCCCAAGTCTTCACATACATGCTGGAGGTCCTCACCTTGATTCATCATCCATCACACCTCATCACTAAGTTGGACTCAATCTTGGCCTAACCATTTTGAGCATCAACACTAAGTTTCCTATTTTAGTTAGGTTAGAATTTCTGTTTTGGTAAGGGATTTTTATCCTTTCATCTCAAGGTTTTAGTTTGCTATAAATACCCTCCTATATAATTCATTAGGGAGTTGAGTTGAGATTTGAGATATTAAGAAAAGTTTACTTTCCAGAGATTGGAGACTTCTTGGTGTGAAGCCAAAACCCCTGGAGTGATTCCAGACCTATCTTTATTTGTTCTGTTTTCTGTTTTTCATTGTTTCACTTCTGTTACTCTACTTTTTTTTTTTTAATAGAAACATTGTATTGATAATCAAGAGGAAAAATCCTCGATCAAAACAAACAAGACCTAAAATAGAGAGCGTCTGACCTACTAAGATTTAAAAAAATTCTGTATTTAAAAAACACAAAAAACACAAAACTTCAGTAAAATCATCTTAAGACTGCCATTGACCCATGCCCTACATCATTTGGTATTGTGGGTGCATTGTCTAGAGGTTGCTATTCCTTGTTGGAGGAGGATGCTTTGGTGATTAGTTCGAACAAGAAAGCTAGTTCTTTGTGGTGTTGTGCAGGTTTTTTTTTAAGATAAGAGGGAGAATGGGGATTTCTTGTGGAGGAGGAAGGGATTTTTGGCTTCTTCACCAAAACATTTAAGGAACATTCCCTTTAGTTTGATTTCTCTTGATTGGGGGAGTAATCCATTTTATTCTGGAGTCTTCTGTTAGCTATTATCTCCATGCTTGTTCTCCTCTCTCCTTTGATGTACTTCTCTTAATAAATTATTGTACTTATTGAAAAATGTTTGTTATTCAATGGAGGCCCTCAATTATAAGAGAAAAATGCTTGGGGACTGCTCTGAATTTTTTTGGCTCTTGGGTGCTGATATCCAAAAAAAACCCTAAATTTAGTAGTTGAAAAGCAAAGAGTAAACGAGAAGAGAATAGTATAATGGCACAGCGGGGAAAGCATTATAGGGGTTCAGACTTCAGAATTTTTGTTTCAACTCATTACTGATACTCTCATCCCATACCCCAGGGACGAAAAGCTTATTTTCTTAACCATTCCAGCAATCCTTAGTAATGACTGTTTCATCTTAAAGAGGATAATTTGTTGCACGTGTGATAAAATAAAAGGTTTTAGTCACAATTTATTCAGGCTAAAGATAATCTTTCTGAATAAGAGGGATGTTTATTAACCCAGTTGTGAAATGGAGAAGCTTTTCTTTCCTGCACTACGGTAAATTCAGTATGTGATATCTGATTGAATTCTTGTTTCAGGTGGTGAGATTGACCTCGATGAAACTACTCAATGTGTCTACTCCATCAACCCGAGATTGAAGCATTTCTCTGATTGGCTTCTAGACATTATTGCTACTGGAGATTTAGATGCATTCTTCCCTGCTGCAACACGTGAGTATGCTCCATTAGTTGAAGAGGTATGGAAGGATCCTGCTATTCAGGAAACATATAAAAGAAGAGATGAGCTTCATTTCCTCCCAGATGTTGCAGAGTACTTTCTAAGCCAGGTAAACCATCTTATCTTAACTTGTGCGGTAATCCAAGTTTTGGTGTTGTACAAATCTTGTTTGCCCCATTGTTTGAGCGTTGTATTTCACCATCTTGTTTTTCAATTTGTGTTAAGCAATACAACTGTCTGTTGTATAATTTTGTTTGTGCCATTGAATATGTAATTACACGAGAGATTGCATTATTATTATTTTTTTTAAACTGAGATGGATTGCATGATAGGGACGATAATTTGGACAGATGGGGCTTCAAGGAAGATTTTTGAGAAATGTGTGATGGAAAATCTCAAAAGATAATTGTAACAAACATAATATAATGGTTTATTTCCTGCAAATCAAACTGCTTCCTCTAACTAAGAATCACCTGGCACACTCAACTACTTCCTATTTACATGGATATGTCACCACGCACTCAAGCCACATGCCCACTAATGCCCGCATGCCACACAGCATGCACATAACAAAATGTCATCAATGCGGTGCTAAATTTGACATGATTTTGAAATAAGATTTCAAGTAATTGAAGAGCTGTGAGTCATCTTCACCTAGGAATCTCTGTAGATTGAAATAGTGGGTATTAGAACCAATCTTCTTGTATTGAGTGTTATCTCAGCATGTTATAGATTAATAACCTTAATTAAAAAAAAAAAAAAATCTTCTGATGGTAATATCTTATTATTTAGTTGTTTTAATGAGTATAGGTGTTAGATGTTTAAGCAACATGGTTTTATTTCTTCAGGCTGTCGAGGTATCTGGCAATGAGTATGAACCTTCAGAACGAGACATACTTTATGCCGAAGGGGTCACTCAAGGAAATGGATTGGCTTTCATAGAATTTTCTCTGGATGATCGAAGTCCAATGTCTGAAACCTACACAGAAAATCTTGAAGCTCCGCCCCCACCTCTAACCAAGTAAGGCTATTAGCAGTTCTGCGTGTGATCATATATGAAGCTCCTGGCTTGCCCTATTTAATATGGCATGTCTTGAGTTTACAACACTGTAGTAGGGTGCTCAATTGGGCTTGAACCTTTCTCTTTTCCTTATTTCATTGAGTGTTGAGTGGCACTATTGCCTTTGCCACCCACCCAAATACTCTCTCTCTCTCTCGCTCTCTCCCCCCTGCCCACCCTGCCCCTGCCCTGAATAATGGCAGCCATTCAAGTAAATACAGTTATTCTCTCATCCGGATGTCCGTACATTATTACCGTGTTGACGTCATTGTAAACAGGGAGGAAAGCAGGGAGGGGTAGTGGAAAATACATAGCGTCTGCACAGTACTAATGTCCGCATGAGAAAATCTGCAAGTTTTTTTTTTTTTGAAAAATAAAACTAAAACTAAGGTTTGGGTTTGGCTGTATTTTGAGAATGTTAGTAGGTGGCTGCAACAGAAATTGTAAAAAAGAAAGGGCTAGGAAAAGTAGGTGTGTGGAGAAAATATTTGATATTTTGGTAGGATTGAACTTGGGATGAAGATTCGAACTAACGAACAGTAAGGGCTGCTCAAACCATCATTTTTCTCCTTACACGAAGATTTGAACTTGGCATTTCTACCCTCACTCCCGCCCATCACATGCCACTTGACCTAAAGCTCGTGGCCTACCACCTAAATCCACCGATTCTCTTTTTATTGGTTACAGTGTACAATTATTGAAACTTAGTTAATGCAGTGACTCCATTACATCACATATATAAACTCAGATTTTTTTGTCTATTACTGTTGTTTAATATACAAAGTTTTATGAACTTTCTGTATTGGATATCACAGATACCAACTTATAAGAGTAAATGCCAAGGGGATGAATGAAGGGTGCAAGTGGGTAGAAATGTTTGAAGATGTACGTGTGGTAGTGTTTTGTGTTGCTCTTAGTGATTATGATCAGATGTGGGTTGCCCCAGACAACAGTGGCAGCGGCGCGTTACTTAAAAATAAGATGATACAAAGCAAGGAGCTCTTTGAGACTATGGTCAGGCACCCTTGCTTTAAAGATACCCCTTTTGTATTAATCCTAAACAAGTATGATCTCTTTGAGGACAAGGTAAATCAGGCGCCTTTAAGCGCTTGCGAATGGTTCAATGATTTTAGTCCTGTGAAGCCCCATCACAACAACCAGTCACTGGCCCATCAAGCTTACTTCTATGTTGCAATGAAGTTCAAAGATCTTTATGCTTCCATCACAGGTCGAAAGCTTTTTGTGTGGCAAGCTCGGGCAAGGGAACGAGTGACTATTGACGAGGCATTCAAGTACATAAGGGAGGTTCTTAAGTGGGATGAGGAGAAGGAGGAGACCTACTATGGTGGACCAGAGGATTCTTTTTACAGTACAGACATGAGTTCCTCACCATATGTGAGGCCGGAGTGATGTGGCTTAGGATCTTATTTGTATTTACTTTTTAATTAAAGTGAAGAGCGAGGGAAAATTGTAACATGCTGTGGTATTTTCATCCAAATAAAGTATATTTTATTTTTGGGAACATCAATTATAAATTATAATGGCATTGAGCGTGCATGGGGTTGTCTTTGGGTCTATTATGTCTGAGGAAATGCTTGTTTAAATTGTGGAATCTGGAACTATGCCTTTTAAGGTTTAAAGGGTAACCTCCCTTACCAATTTTAGCATCAATAATTTGCTCTTCTTTCTTTTTTTCTATTATTTAACGGAAAATATAGTTGGACAAGGATTCTACCACAAGCAACAAAAGAAAATTTATAGGGAGCTTCACTTGTGTGGATTCGGATCCTTCTGCTTTGATTTTCTCTACTAGTATGTGCTTGGCTTTTAATTTAGACACGCCACCTCATTTTAAAAATACCTATTGCAAGAAAACATGCCACATAATTTCAACCAAAAAAAAAACCTTGGAGAATAAATGAGTAGTAAGGAAATTTCTCTTCGATTTCTCTGAGGTTCGTATGCACTCCATTATCAAAGTTCTCTTCTCATCTCAATGACAATGGTTTTCTTTCTCATTTATTGTTATTATTTTACCCAAGAAACTAGCATCTATAGTTGGTTTCGAGTGCTGCTAAACGAACCCTAAAATTAACTGAGTACACCCTACTACCAAAATATTTATTGAATTATTAATTTACCTTAATATAAAATGACCAAAAAAGATATATTGAATTGCAAAACAAATATAATTTTAATAAGTACACCCTACTCACCATATTCAATCCTAATGAAAGGCCTAAACAAGAAAAATGCTTCCCTGATTCCAACCATTATGAGACTTGTTAGTGTTCAACAAAATTTAGGGTACTAAGGAAGCGAAAGAACCATGTTGGGAAACTTGTGGAGAATGAAATAAGCTTATGATCCCAGAAAAAGCAAAAGCAGACCCAAGGAAGTTTGGGTGAATGAGGGGTTGTTGATAGGGCTTTTCTTCTAGGAGGGATGATTGTGAGCTTCCTGACAATTGTAACTCTACTAGCATATCCTTTTTTTGGGTCAAAACATCAGGGAAATTTATTAAAGATGAATAAGATCGTTTACATCACTACCCATGCTGGACTTGCTTGATCCCAGACATGATTACCACCCATCCTAGAAACATAGGCTGACACCTCATGTGCAGCTCTATTGCAGTGTCGTGTGTGAAAGAAAATACCACTTGACTAATTAAACTGTTGAACTAAAACATGAATATGAAATAGGGTGTTGTGTGATAGAGTTTATTAGGGTTGTTTGTGCAAATAATCTCGCAAGAGAATATTTGCTTCTAGATCCTTCAACCTTCGATCTTGCTTCTCTCTCTTCCTCGATTCCTGTAAAAAAGAGTGGAGTAAATAGACCACACCAGAGGGGTGTTGGCCAAAGGCCCTCCGATGCCTAAATTAGTTCGAGTGTTTGTAGGAAAACAATATCTAAGCAAAGGGTATAGAGTTTATGTATGGTGTGAACCGGGTGGCCGGAGCCGTGTGTGGTGGCCGAAGTCGTGTGGAGAAAATATGGAGAGTGGAGAGGGAGAGAGAGCTTCGGCATTTTTCTCGAGTTTAGGAGTAGGTTTAGATGTGAGTTTTTTGAAGTACCTTGAATGATGAATAAGGTCGTCTATTTATAGGAGCCTCGGGGCTAGGGTTTCGTAGAGAATATGCTGAGTTTATTCTCTACTCAAATTCATATGGATCAAGTTGGACTTAGATAATATCTGATTTAATGATATTATCTTCTCTTTATTGAAGATAATATCTGAATTAAATGATATTATCTCTTTTTATGAAGATAATATCTGAATTAATGATATTATCTTCTCTTTATTAGGATAATATCTAAGTTAATGGTATTATCTTATTAAATAAAGATAATATCCCATTAATTAAGATATTTATCCCAATTAACTAATTGGCTAGATAAACTAGTTCAATTAATTAATTTAAGAGATAATCTTCTTTTCCACGTGGCGTGCCCTGATTGGAGACGAAAATATATGTTCCCACAAATGCCCCTCAGCTTCTGCATGGCGCTTGTGTGGCATGCAGGAGATGAAATTATTTTTTTCGAGCTCTCCAACTGTGTTTGGGCTTTCTTCTGTGAGTTGGACTCTTGTTGCAGATCGGATTCCCGATTGATGTAGGCTCCTGACTGTTGTTGGAGTTGGATTTCCAGTAGAAATGAGCTTGCGATCCCTCCTCGACCCGGATTGTCCAACTTGTATAAATACAGGGCTTCGCTTCACTCTTTCTCACATCGCAAACTTAACTTCTCTACTTTCTAGTTTGAGAAAGATCTTGTAGAATTTGTACTGCTTGTGGAAGAGAGGAGTTGCGGTGCATCCCAAGGTAAGTCGAGCACATATATTTTTCTTCGTCTTCTCTTTTTCGTGGCAAGGACCAGCTAGGTGGGACCAGGCTGGTTGACATCGTGACTAGCGGTCGAAGACCGATTGAAGTGGCGGTGGCCGCTGGTTGCTGCTGAGCAAGTATCCGGAAGAAGTTGGTGGTCTGCCATTTGCCCAGGATGTTGCGAGATGGAAGTAGAATGGTCTAGACTCTGATGACCTGCCGGCTGGGCATGAGGAGTGTTCTGCTGGACTCCCATAAAAAAGGAAGGCTGACGTCAATTCGCATAGTGTCTTGTGAACTGCTTAAGTGTTTCTGGGTTGTGGCATGTTTAGCCTACGTATGGAGACGTGTCGATGAGAGTGGCCCGTTTGGCTTACGTCCGGAGACGTGTCGATGTGTGTGACCCATTTGGCCTACGTCCGGAGACGTGTCGATGATAGTGGCCCGTTTGGCCTATGTCCGAAGACATGTCGATATGTGTGACCCGTTTGGCCTACGTCCGGAGACGTGTCGGTGATAGTGGCCCGTTTGGCCTACTTCTGGAGACGTGATAAAAGTGACATGTTTGGCCTACGTTCGGAGACGTGTCGATGTGTGTGACCCGTTTGGCCTACGTCCGGAGACATGTCGATGATAATGGCCCGTTTGGCCTACATCCGGAGACGTGTCGATGTTGTGGCTCGTTTGGCCTACGTCCGGAGACGTGTCGAAGATAGTGGCCCGTTTAGCCTAAGTCCGGAGACATGTCGATGTGTGTGGCCCGTTTGGCCTACGTTCGGAGACGTGTCGATGTGTGTGGCCCTTTTGGCCTACGTCTAGAGATGCGTCGATGATAGTGGCCCGTTTGGCCTACGTCTAGAGACGTGTCGATGAGTGTGGCTTGTTTGGCCTACGTCCGGAGACGTGTCGATTGCTTTTGTGAACATTCCATTGGAAAGAAAAGCTTGAACTTGTACTGATGTCTATGTTACTACATTGTTTTATTGAACAAAAAAGATGAGTTGCATGAGTAACATCAAAAGTAATTTGTCTTCAATGGAGGTGATGGAGGCTTGGCTGCCTGCTTAGAGCCGAGCAGATAGATGAGGAGCTTCACGGATAGTACCTCTGGAGGTGAAGGGCATTCCATTGCACTGGAACTTCCTTCCATTGAAAGATGATGAAAGGTTCGTCTTCCATAACTTAGTAGCTAATGACGGCTTGGGAGACGAAATTCGCCTGCTTGATCTTTCTCTTCTGCCCCCAGGTGGTCAGCCCAGGCTCTTGGAGTCAGCTAGGATCGTGTTGATCCATATGACTTTTTTCGTGGAGGCTCACTGTTAGCAGCGTCACAATCCTTGATTTGCTGGATAGCCCCCATTGCGACGAATTCCGTGCAATGGCCGTCTCTGACTAGATCTTCGAGGTGTCTTTTCCAGGCGAAGCAGTCATTTGTGTAATGACCGTGCCCTTCATGGAATGTGCAGTATCTACTTGTATCCTTCTTGGTTGGGTTTCCCTTTAAAGGTGATGGTTTCTTCAACCAAGGCATGTCATTTACTTGGGCCAGGATCTGGTGTATCGGGATAGTGAACTTAGTGTAGCTCTCCGCTGCTGGAGCACATTCTTGAGGCTGTGATCTGCACTTGCCGTTCTCTTTGTTTGCCTGCTCAGCTGCTTGATCAGCTTTCTTCGCAGCAATCTGGTCGTCATCCCATAATGCGTAACGCTCTGCTGTAGCGAAGACTTCTACCAATGTTTGGCGAGGAAAGATAGTCAGCTTGCGATACAGCTCACATTCAGTTCGCTTCTAGATCCAACAATTCGATCTTCCTTCTCTCTCTTCCTCGATTCCTGTAAAAAAGACTGGAGTAAATGGAGCACACCAGGGGAGGTGTTGGCCAAAGGCCCTCCGATGCCTAAATTAGTTCGAGTGTTTGTAGGAAAACAATAGCTAAGCAAAGGGTACGGAGTTTATGTATGGTGTAAACCGGGTGGCCGGAGTCGTGTGTGGTGACTGGAGCCGTATGGAGAAAATATGGAGAGTGGAGAGGGAGAGAGAGCTTCGGGTATTTTTCTCGGGTTTAGGAGTAGGTTTAGATGTGGATTTTTTGAAATACCTTGAATGATGAATGAGGTCGTCTACTTATAGGAGCCTTGGGGCTAGGGTTTCGTAGAGAATATGCTGAGTTTATTCTCTACCCAAATTCGTAGGGATCGAGTCGGACTTAGATAATATCTGATTTAATGTTATTATCTTCTCTTTATTGAAGATAATATCTGAATTAAATGATATTATCTCTTTTTATGAAGATAATATCTGAATTAATGATATTATCTTCTCTTTAATAGGATAATATCTAAATTAATGGTATTATCTTATTAAATATCTAAATTAATGGTATTATCTTATTAAATAAAGATAATATCTCATTAATTCAGATATTTTTCCCAATTAATTAATTGGCCAGATAAACTGGTTCAATTAATTAATTTAAGAGATAATCTTCTTTTCCACGTGGCGTGCCCTGATTAGAGACGAAAATATATGCTCCCACAAGGGTGTACCAAGGGTATTTTGGTAGTAAAGTAAGGTGTACTTAGATCATAGGGTGTACTCAATTAATT